CTGCCTAGATATAAAGTCTGTTACATTCTCCCTTTTTAAGTTTATATCATCCCCGTCCTGCATAAGCAAAGCGGCTGCTGAACAAACGGCAGAAGTCCAGGGAGGGGAGGCATCTCCTGACAGGGAAGAAGAAAGTTCTATAAGCTGCTGGCTTTCAATTTCAGTTTGTAAATCCCATTCCAAGGAATTATGAGTACTATATCTATTTGGAGAGGATGCAGGGGCAGAATTACTTACTGGAGTTGTCTGTTTGTTTATAGTATATTCGTCCATTTTCTGCTACTTCAGAGGTTTAGATGAAATCTGTGTTGCAGAATGTACACGCTGTCTCTTTTTCCTTTTTCCCATTCTTGAATCCTGGCGTATATTTTATCAAATTATAGCTGGAGCAGAAAGATGACTCTTCAGGCGATATAGTTTAAAATAAATTAAAATTTGTAAAATAGAATAAAATAGGATGTTGCAGGATAGAATAAAATGAAATAAAATGGAGACCATAGACTCAGTGCTGCTCACCCATTGTCATCTTGGAGCCCCTCCTCAGCAGAGAGATGCTTCAATCCTGAGGAAGCCATAATCAGTATGAAAATGATCTATCATGGAATGATTTCAAGAATTTACTGGGTTTTTTTTAATATTTTGTTTTCCTTTTATTATTATTTTTTTCTAAATACTGCTGGCACTGATGGTCCTGTACTTTCTCTGAAATCAGCATCAAGAATTTTAGCAGAGACAGAGGCATTTGAATAGTAACTGATACAGAAGTTATCAGTTCAGCCTTGCCAGGAACTACTGTTGGAATCTGCTGAAGGAGCAGAATATGAAGACATTTTTCTTCTATGAATTTTCCTTCTGTGAATTTTCAGTGCCAGAAGAGTTATATTTAGCTATGGGCTCCAAAATCGACTGCTTAAAACCAAGTTACTGCAGCAGTAGGATGAGGGCTAGAAACAGGCCTTATTCCACTTTGCCATTGAAAGGGCTCTAGAGAGTTAGTACAGATGAATTCTCCAAGGTAAATAAAGATGGGGTATTTTAAAGACTGAATAATAGTAAGAAAGAAAATGGATATAATTGAGATGTTAGCTCCAGAAGACAATCCAAATTATTCCAGTTGTGGTGGTTGAAGAACAATTGAAGAGAAATGGCTGGTGGTTCAGCATTAGTGGGTACACATATGGAGAATGAGTGAAGCTCCTGCCAAAAATCATAGTGCTACAATGTTCCAAACAGGGCACTGCACAGGCATAGGACCCATATGCACAAAACAGAGACCACATTGAAAAATTCAGAAAGTTCTGAATAATCAATTGGTATTGAATCTTGTGTGCTTTGCAGCATTAGAATTTTTAGAGGAAAAAAACGCAAAAGGTATTTGATAGAATTCTAGGAGGTTTTCCCCCAAGAGAAGGAGCAGATATTGGAAATGTCACATAGAAAGAGGTTAGCTGCATCTCACCCTCACATAATGTGGTTGTATCCATATCCACTCTAAGTCCTATCCTGAAAACATTTATAGGAGGGAAGGAAGAACAGAAGTCAAGCTGAGCTTGCCCAGGCAATGATGATAGAAACAGGATTGGTGCTCTTTTTTGCATAACTGCCTTTGTTCTATGTCTTTTTCTTCTCTGAGCAAAAATCTGATCCAGTAAAGCATGCTGTCTGTCTGATTTGATTGGTCTGAGGATGCACTTGTGGTTGGAGAGAATGGAATAAGAGAGGCACATAAGAGAGAAAAAGTTATCTGGTTTGCTGATGAAAGATGCAGCACACAGCTTCTCTTAACCAATGAGTGGAACAGCAGTTGAGAAGGCCGGACAGGAAAAAAAAAGGCAACATCCTGAGGGAAGATTAGTATATTTCTTCCTGATTCTGGTACTGCTCTGTCAGTCAGAAGCAGTACAGTACTGTGGATTTGGGAGTGTTGCATTGATGCATTCCTCCATTTCAGGAAAAAACATGACACCAAGTGATAATGCAAAGATGATAAAGACAGGAACGCTTAGGAGCAAGCATCACATATATGTGCCAGCTTAAGATGACTGGCCAGGGGTTCTGGTTTCTCATTAAGAGCTCCAGGTAATGAAATATTATCCCTTCCACTGTTTTCTGACTCTACACATGGTCAAGATTCAGTATGTTTATGCAATATAAACCAGGAAGCTAGTGACTAGTTTTCTTGGAGCCCAGCACTGTTGGGATCATGCTGTCAAGCATGGGGATGGGATGGGCCCAAGGAAGCATGTCGTGATACTTCCTAATGATCTGCAGTCTAGCATGATTTCATTTTAGCTCATGGAAAGGCTGAACTCTGCTACTATGTTCACAAAATGTAACTGATTTATATATACAATGGTAATTGAAGTGATGGGGGACGCGGTGGCGCAGCGGCTTAATGACGCCGAAAGTTGCCGGCCAGAAATGGCTGA